GACAGTTCTCTTCGATCCATGAAGGGCGCATTGTAGGTAGCGGAATCGATACCGGAACCGGAAGTACCCGCCAGCGATTTTATGGCAAAGCGCTGGCGTTGTTGTACGCCGCATCCGCATCGGCCACACGCCCAAATTTCAGTAACAGGTGATCTAGAGCTAAAGTGCATAACTATTGTCAATAATTATTGATTTTGAGCAACAGACCGCTTTTCGAGAAACTCGCGTCAAGGAGGTTGCTTCTGAACTTTTCAAGCGAAGCTGTGATCAGTTCATAAAGAGGAGATTACGATACTGTCTTCAAAAGGCTCAAACACCATATGTGGAACTAAAACTAGGCATGGCTCTTTCCACAGTTTTTGGGCGGTTACGACACAATATCATGCGAAATAAGTAAACAAATAGACTATACTATAATATCTTCAAAGCATAATTTCCCTAATACTCGTTTTACAGTCATCAAAAGCAAGAGAAATGTTGATCACACGCAAGCTAACTAACAAAATAGCTGATTCTTGCTGTCATCTTCTTGCAACCATCTTGCATGAAAATCAATCCGTTGGATTTATTATTCAAGTTTGTCTGCAATTATGGTGAAATAGTTTGTAACTTACACGTTACAAAGCATGCAAATGTGCCTAGGCCTGTGCGGTGGTTTGTGTGGTTATACATATTTAATTGTTTATAGATATATATGTACGTTTGATTGTGTTTCGATGTTGGATGGTCGGCGATTGAACCCAGTTTTTGAATATTAAAACCATGAGTTATATCAGCCGTTCCTGCTGATATGATAGGAATACTGCCGACGATGCTACTAATTTCCTAGAAGACCTAGAGTTTACTTTATTGTTCTCAACACATTTTACAGTCAGTCAGATTTAAGCCTTTGTACTGTTTACATCATAATAACATTGTAATAATTTTGTAAAAGTACAGTTTTGAGTTTTGTATTTTCGAAAAATAAACTTTTTAAAAAGCGATCTCGAAGCATCGATCTTATAACTGGCGCAGTCAATCCAGTAGGATCAGAAATACGCGACCCGGGAAAGACTTTCGCAAACCGTCGCGACGGGACTTTTCGGGACTCTATCCGGCCTTTTTGGACTTGGTGGCATTCGTGTAGTGGCAGTGAGCACTGGAGTGGATTCATATTTTTGGATACCCAATCCATCGAGGAACCGGCGTGAACAGCTACATACGAAGGGCATCGGAATTTGGGACCACATTGCCCAAGTTCGCAAGGATTCCAGCCTGGGGAAGACAACATTGCAGAACCAGCTAGGATCTTTATAGGAGTAAGAGATGCTAAAGATCGCTTTCTTAGTGTTGTAAGTGCAGTTTATTTTTTTCCATTTATCGCTTCAAATTTCAATGAGTATTGATATATCGCAAGCCCTTGAGAATTTGGACCTTAATACTGACTCTCCAAATACTCGACGGTACTCTAATATACTACGTGAGCCCATACTTTCACAAGTCCCTGTACATTCAATACCTACAAGTATTACTACAACTATGGCTACTTTTAGGCCCGAATACTTAAGTTGTGTGCCCGAATTTGACGGCAACAGTAACGATCTCAATCGATTTTTGCGTGTAAGCAAATCCTTGATTGACAATTTTTATGATCATTCCAATCCAAACAATTTTCAAAATACATTTTTATTGAACTCCATTCTTTCAAAGCTGAGAGGACATGCCAAATCTTTAATAAACATTCATTCAGTGAACACCTGGAGTGAACTCGAAACTTTATTAGTTACTAGTTTTTCTGACCAACGTGATGAAGTGTGCTTACATAGAGACCCTTGCTTACTAAAGCAATATCAAAATGAGAGCCCTCAAAAATTTCACGAAAGATGTTTGCATATTTTAAACAATCTGTGTAGCTACGTTAATATCCACGAAGCTACCGAAAGTGGTAAAGCAATAAAACGCGATTTGTATCAAAAACTTGCGTTAAAGACTTTCCTTTCAGCTTGAAAGAACCATTGGGCACCACTGTCAGGTGCATGAAACCAACCTCCTTGAGCGAAGCTCTTCAATTAGTGATTGAAGAACAAAATGTGCATTATTTCCAAAACGTTTCATATAGAGTTAAGACAGATTCACAGAATTTTACAAATTTTCAAAATTCGCAGTTCAGACCTGCACGCCCAGTTAATATGCCTTATCAAAATTTTAATTCTCGTACGCCTAATAGCTTTTTCCGTGCGCAATTCCCATCTCAACCCATCCAAATTCAACCTAGGCCAAACTTAAATCAGCGTTTCCCGACTAACGCTGAAGTCTTTGGCAACCAACAAACAAAGAATCCGAATACAAACGTTTTTAAGCCCAATTCTTCAAATCCAAGAAATCTTCCAAGGCCGACACCGATGAGTGTCAGCACAAGAAACACAATACGTCCACCATTCGCTCCAATTCCGGCGAACACACCTCGACCTCAGCAAAATTTTATCTTTGAGGAACTGTATAACACCGAGTTAAATGATAACGCAACATATGAAACTTATGATACAGGCAATTTTGCTACTAACGTCGAAAATAATTACGATGAATTCTATGATGACCCCAACCAAAATAATTGTCAATACGATCATTACAATACCGATCAAAATAATGAACTTGACATGCCCAACCCAACCTCGACGTCAGGAAATGAAAATTTTCCCCCAGCCAGCCAGGTTATTCAACCGACATAAACAGTGAAATTATATCGTTCAATGCTAGCAACACAAAAGGATTGAGCTATATAGTTTTTCCCGAATATGACATAAAACTTTTGATTGACTGCGGGTCTACTAGGTCATTTATAGATCCAGACATCGCATTCAAATATTTTCCACAACAAATCAAAAATGAACCATTCATTGTTTCGACTGTATTTCAGAAATCCGCCCATAAATTCAGTACTTTAATACCAGCATCCAAAATTTTCAATTTGCCTCATCTAAAGGAATTAAAATTTTACTTGTTCAAGTTTCATGATTTTTTCAATGGTTTGATCGGTATGGATAACTTAGAAGAATTACAGGCAAGACTCTTATTTCAAGAAGGGTTTCTTGTGACACCGTATGCAAAAATCAAGTTGCTTTATCAAAAACCTAAGAATAATTTGAATTTTGTTACCATCGAACCTCGCACTGAGCTTGTCATAAAAGTTAAAACATCCATAAGCGATGGCGAAATTATTATACCCCACCAAAAAATCCATAATTGTGAAATACCGGAATGCTTGACTATTGCGAAAGATAGTTATGCTTTGACGACCTTACTGAACAATACGACAGATACCGTTACACTCGACTTTTCTAAACCCCTTTCTGTTGAACCATTTTACCAGTCTATACATCCGACGATATGTCAAGAATTTGATCTTAATAATATCAACGATTCTCCAGAAAATAAACTAGACTATTCCAAAATTAGAGTAGACCACCTAAATTCAGAAGAACAGTCCGCAATCCTCAAACTTTGCAAAGAATTTTCGGATATATTTTATCGTGAAGGCGAACCACTAACTTTCACAAACAAGATAAAACATCAGATTCGAACTACTGATGAGATCCCAATTTATTCCAAGACCTACCGGTACCCCTTTGTTCACCGACAAGAAGTAAATGACCAAATCCAAAAAATGTTGAAATCGAACATTATTAGGCAAAGTAATTCGCCATATTGCTCGCCCATTTGGGTTGTGGCTAAGAAGATGGATGCCTCTGGCAAACAGAAATGGCGCGTCGTAATAGACTATCGTAATCTTAACGATAAGACTATTGATGACAAATATCCACTTCCCAATATAAACGACCTGCTGGACAAACTAGGAAGATGCCACTATTTCAATACGTTGGATCTTGCTAGTGGTTTTCACCAAATAGAAATGGATGAGAAAGACATTGAAAAAACAGCATTTAACACCGAAAATGGCCATTGGGAGTTTTTGAGAATGCCGTTTGGTCTTAAAAATTCACCAGCCACGTTCCAACGAGTGATGGATAACATCCTCCGAGGAATTCAAAACGAAAAATGTCTCGTTTACCTCGATGACATTATCGTATTTTCGACATCTCTTCAAGAGCACATAGAAAGGCTACGATCTGTCTTTACCCGACTACGCGAATCTAACTTTAAAATTCAGTTAGATAAATCCGAGTTTCTAAGAAAAGAGGTTGCATACCTCGGACATATAGTAACTCCTAAAGGCGTGAAACCTAACCCCGACAAAATCTCAGCAATACAAAATTTCCCTATACCAAAAACTAATAGGCAAATAAAAAGCTTTTTAGGACTCTTAGGCTATTATCGGCGATTTATTCCAAATTTCGCTCAACTCACGAAACCTCTCACTAAGTGCCTCAAAAAAGGCGCAAAAATTGTTCACGACGACGAATTTGTATCATGTTTCGAAAACTGTAAGACATTACTTACCAACGACCCAATACTTCAGTACCCAGACTTCACAAGACCGTTCAATTTGACAACTGACGCAAGCAATGTAGCTTTAGGGGCAGTTCTTAGTCAGGGTCCAATCGGTAGTGATTTGCCTGTAGCTTATGCGTCACGAACCTTAAATGATTCGGAAAGAAATTACAGCACTACCGAAAAAGAGTTGTTAGCTATAGTGTGGGCTACCAAATATTTCAGACCTTACCTCTATGGGCAGACCTTCAATATTATAACAGATCATAAACCCCTCCAGTACCTTTATTCATTAAAGGAAGGCGTCTCCTCAAAATTAATGAGATGGAAAATGAAACTTGACGAATATAATTTCAAAATCATCTATAAAAAAGGCAAACTCAAAACAAATGCTGACGCTCTTTCTAGAATCGAAATTCATACTAAGGAAACTAACGATTTTTGGGAACAACTCGATGACTTCCTTGGAGAAGCCTCCAACTATCAGAATCAAAGAATTACCTTTGTAGATCAAAATTTAAACACACCTCCCACGACACAAGCTAATCCAAATTCACCACTGATAATTCAAGATATTAGCTACCCCAATTTAAACCCTGAACTAGACGATATCTCAATGATTGTCAACTTGGACAATGAAACAGATCAACCTGACTGTCAGGAACTTCCTACCGTTGACAATACAAATACTGACAAAGATATAATCAATGAAACAGAACAAACTGACTACCACGAACTTCCTTTTGTTATTGACAAAACCAATACTAATGAAGACGAACTTGACAAGGATGATGAAACCCGGCACTCTAATAATCAACACCCGGTTGTTACAATTCCTATATCAGACCAACCATTGAACTTTGGCCAAAATCAGATCGTAATTAAAACGGTCCTGCACTCTCCCGCCAAGCCGAAAATCATAATTTTATTCGAGAGAAAACAGCGGCTATTAGTGCAAATTTCAAAGAACAACCTTGAATCAGATGTTGTAAATTTTGTCAAGGAATATATTGTACCCGATGTCCCATACTATATATATTTCGAAGATCCTGACATATATGAACCCTTCTCAGGCGCTTTACAAAAGTATTTTAAATGGCCCTCTATCAAGTTTAAAAGGTGTCTTGAAAAACTTCTAGACATCACTAGTAATGATGAAATTAAAAGTTTAATACAAAATTATCATGAAGGGAAATCAAATCATCGCGGGATCGATGAAACCTATTCTCGCTTAAAACAAAAGTACTATTGGCCAAATTTGAAAAGTTCCGTTCAGTCATACATAAATGACTGCGAAATCTGTCAACAAGCCAAATACGAGAGACACCCTGTTAAAGCGCAAATGAATATCACTCCCACTGCTGTGAAGCCATTTGAAATAATTCACATGGACACATACACATTTGAAAAATCTAAATTTTTTACCATTATCGATAGTTTTTCAAAGTACGCTCAAGCTTACCATCTCAATTCAATGACAGGTACCGAAGTAGCTGACAACCTTATCCGATACTTTTCCCATCATGGAATCCCGACACAAGTTATTACTGACAATGGCACCGAGTTTAAAAACTCAGTCATATCCGAGTTATTAGGTCTACATGGAATCGAAATACATTTCTGTTCCCCGAACCATCCCCAGTCAAATGGCGTAGTCGAAAGATTTCATTCGACAATATCTGAGCAACTCCGAATTTTAAACACTCAAGGCTTTCAAAAAACATCTGTCCAAATGAAAATGATATACGCAATCTTAGCATACAACAACTCTGTTCATTCTGTGACTAAATTAAAACCCATCGATGTCATAAATGGTCATCTCAGTGAAAAAGATACATTTGACATCAGCCTAGACCAAATTTTGTTGAATGATTATGTAGAACAACACAAAGCACGCAGTAAGCTATTATATACCAAAATCAACGAGGCGCTTGTTCAAAATAAAGAAAAAGTAATTGAAAAGGCAAACATAGCTCGAGATAGTGCAAAAATATTTCAACCAGGTCAGAAAGCATTCGTTAAGAAAAATATACGTCAGAAAAATGCAAATAAATTCCAAAAATCATGTACACTAACATCAGTCGATCCTGGTAAAAAGACCGCTACTACTGATAAACACAATAAAGTACATATCGATAATTTGAAGCGTCCCCTTCGCAAACCATATTCATTTAGCAACTAAATGTTTCTCTCCAAGTACGACATACATACATGTAGGTATTATTCATTTGCAGATTCCTGAAAGTAACGGTTGGACTTCAGGATAGCATAACTATACGTAACCTCGACAACAATCCAGGACTACTTCCCGTGGAAATTGTTGAAGCAAAAGTAAAAGACTATGACTTTTCACTCATTCATTATTATGATATGAATCCCATCATTTCTGAAATTGAAAAATTATCAATTTCCTCCTCACGTATAGCAGAAACCATTTCTTCAAATTTAAATGTCACTACATATTTGTCCAATTATTTCAGAACATTAAAATTTGTTCAGCGACAGGTAGAACAAAAGTTACATAATATATTTCCCCATACAAAGCGAGGAAAAAGAGGCATTGGGTCGATATTCAAATCAATAACTGGAAACCTTGACGCCAATGATGGCGAACGTTTCGAAAATCTAATTCAAGAGCTTCAAAATAATCAAAGAGAATTGACTAACAGTGTCACACAGAATAATGCACTGTCAGTATCTCTAATTGATAAGTTCAATAAAACTGTTCAGCAAATCTGTCATAATGAACAATTGCTGAATAATAAAATTAATACCATATATGCAATTGTTCATCGTACTACAATCGATTCAGATCAGCATAAATTCATAGTAGACACAGTATCTCAAATTATGAACAGCTACAAAGTAACTCTGTCAATATTACAAGACGTTGAAAATTCAATAATTTTTGCACGTCTTGGAACAATTCACTCTAGCATTATTACAACCGAAGAAATTTTTGGTGAACTGAAACTATTGAGCTCAAGATTAGGCCAGGAAAAATTTGCGATTCCAGTTTTACTAGATAACATACCAACTTTTGAAAAAATAATCAAAATCTCCAGTTATTCTGTGGGCAACAAAATTACATTCGTTTTATCATTCCCAATCTCATACTATGAGTCATTTAACTTATATCGTCTCTTTCCAATCCCGATATATTTTGAAGGTCAATTTAAGACTATCATTCCAAAGGAGCCTTATTTGGTAAAAAATGAATTGCACTTTGCACTTTTCGGCGACATTTGTACTGAAATTGCTCCTAAAAAGTTTCTCTGCGAGAAGACCATCTTGCGAGACATTAATGGTCCATCACCCTGTGAACTTGAACTATTCAACGGAAGAAACGCCCCTGCATGTGCCCGAACTCCACTGATAATCAATCAGCCAAGTATCGAACGAATCCAACGGACTAATCAATGGGTATTGATCCTGCCACTACCAGAAGTTATCAAAATGGAATGCCACGAAGAAATGCAAATGAAAAGATTGACGGGAACTTACCTACTTTATATTCCTGTCAACTGTCAAGTAGTGATGCAAAGTTTCGTTACTTTTAGGACTTCCGAAATTAATCACCAAATCATCAAAAATGAACCCGAAACGATTGTCGCGGGCCAACCTATAATATTCCCGGATTTAAACCTGGACACTAAAGACGACATCACAGAAACAAATTTCAGTTTGCATCTAGAAAAAATTAAGCTAGACGAGTTAAGTAAAATCAAGTCAAGCATTATCAACAACAAACCCAACTTCAAAAAACCTACAGAATTTTTTATACCGTGCCTGGACACTGATAATATATGGATGTATATTACTCTTGGGTGTCTACGCAGTCTGGAAAACCATTTTGAAGAGGAGGAAGCTCAGAAATAGAAGTATTCAACAACCAGAAGTCGAACTTCATCCTATTCAACTTCCTTGAAGAATTCTTCCCCGAAGTTGAATCTCAGGGGGGAGGAGTTATATCAGCCGTTCCTGCTGATATGATAGGAATACTGCCGACGATGCTACTAATTTCCTAGAAGACCTAGAGTTTACTTTATTGTTCTCAACACATTTTACAGTCAGTCAGATTTAAGCCTTTGTACTGTTTACATCATAATAACATTGTAATAATTTTGTAAAAGTACAGTTTTGAGTTTTGTATTTTCGAAAAATAAACTTTTTAAAAAGCGATCTCGAAGCATCGATCTTATAACTCATGTGTTCTGAAGGGTAAGGAACCAAAATAAAAATATTAGGTTAGTAATGTGACAGGGAACATTTCATTTGTTTAGGTTGGCTAGACTTGCGTTATTGAATCAAGGAAAAAAGGCTCGCAAGCAACAGTCTTTAAGGGAAATTGCGCACTGCCGATCCTTAGTGCAGCTGGAATTCATTCTTGCACACACTCATGAATTGAGTGATAGAGTACAGTTGTTTTCATCCACCTTCTATAAATTCAGTGCAGACTGTCAACCTTGAAGTTGGATATACAGACATTGATGTATATATCGAATACCAGCAAAGGTCAGTTTTCGCTAGTAGTAGTAGAACGGTTTTTACTAATTTCGAGAATGCTATCATATTCTTAGAACTTCCAACCCGTCTCTTTCAATACCTAAAACAAGTCATCTGAATCATCAAAACGGGATGTCTGAATAGATTTTTCTGTTTTTCCCATAAAAATTTATGAAAATCCAGATGTAATTTTTAAGTAATTTCTATGTGTACGACAAACCGCTGGAAACGAGTGATATGGTTTTACATGATGTAACATCCGAAAAACATCATTCAATTCCAAATCCCCCGCAATATATTTTTAAGATGCAACGTATCACCCAAACAGTTGAATCGATTTTGATTCTTATTCTTTTAATGTAATATCCGAAACTTATCTTGTGGTTTTCATGCTGACAGTCCCCTATGTTTGTCTACCTGAAGCAAACCACATATACAGGTATGTTCAAAATTTCTCTTTATTGTACAAATACGACGGTTCGGTCCCAACGGAGACCCTTTTCAAGTATAATCGACACTTTTGACGATATATTTTGTTTATATGTCTTCCAGGTGACACTTTGATTTATTTTATTTACTCATTCCTATGAGGCGTCCATCGTTTATCGCTTTCTAGAGCTGAACGTGCTTTTGGGAACCGGAATACCTACCTCAGGAGGTTTTGCGCTTTGCTGCTTTTGCACCGAGCCATCTTAAAATTCCAATGATGGCTTCATGCAATCTCAGCATGCTACAGCACCGGTCACACACTATTGTATAGGGCGCGGTAGAGAGGATGGACGGTTTAAAAGAGTACTACCCATCCCAAAAACGTCCGTCCCCTCTGCCGCACCCTGTATATAAATGTGTAAATGAAATGTAAAACAAACGAAGTGTCAGATATATAGATAGACAAGATATATTCGCTGAAGTATCAAATGCACTTAAAAAAGGTCACCGTTGGAATCGAAACGTGTACAATAAAGAGGAATTTTAAGCACATTTATGTGATTTGATTTAGCCTGCCAACCATTGGCGATTGCCTCCTTTTTTTGAAATAACTTAACCGTGGATACTCTAGCTATAACATAAAACCGCATTTTTAAATCGCCTGTTTTTTATATTTATTAATCGATACTTGCACATCATTCATGTTTTTAAAATTCTCAAAACACCGGTTAGCAAACTTCTAGTCCAACATCTTACAGTTATATAACGGCACAGGCGAAACGCCCAACGTTTTTCAGAGCACGTGGTTTCAATAATTAGGCAGTGAAGTCATGAACGTACCGGATCAATACCGGAGTTGTAAAGAATTCGTTGACAAACAGCAAAAGAAAACAACCTTATTGTGGTTTGATTCAGCCTGACAGACATAGGGGATTCTTCTTTTGTGTGAAATAACTTATTCGTGAGTATTTTAGCTATAATAAAGAACAACCCGTTCAGCATATTTGAAAAGGTGGTTTTTATATTTTTTAATCGATACTTGCACAATATTATGAACGATGTTTCTCCAACTTCTAGAATATCGGTTAGCAAACTCCTGAGCCAACACCTTACAGTTATACAGGGTGGCCAATATATAACTGATTGATTTAAATTGCGCGCCATTTTTGATATACGCATTTCAGTAGGTGGCGCCATTGTAGTTGTTTAAAGCACATCTGTCGAATTCAACATGGAGCGCTACACAATCCTACAACGTTAAAACGTTTTACTTGAATAACCAGTTGATTGTTGCAACGATTCGGAATCTACGACAAGATTTCTCTGCCCAGTGTCAACACCGTTCGTCAGTTGGTACGGAAATTTGAACAAACAGGTGAAGTTAAAGTCTTGCCAAGGTTGGGCCGTGTAAGAACTGGGTATTCACTGCACGTCACTGAGCACTATTTTAAAAAAGCATTTGCATTTGCGGCCATACAAAGTTCAGTTAAGCCAAGAACTAGAGCCTAGAGAACATGCAATACCCAAAATAACGATTTTTACCGACAACTGATACTGAGCGATGAAGCCCACTTCGATATGAAGGGATTTGTTAATAAGCAGAATTATCATATCCTGGCATTAGAGAACTCTCGTGTCATCCATCAACGACTACTACATCCTCGTCGAGTCACAGTTTGTTGCGGTATAGAGGTGTCATTGGACCTTACTTCTTCAAAGACGCTGCAGGTAATTCTCGTACTGTCACTGGCGAGCGCTACCGTGATATGGTGCAAAACTTTCTGACTCCTAAAATCCAACAAATTAACCTGCAAAACATGAGGTTCTAGCAGGACAGAGCAACTTGTCACACAGCTAGGGAAACAATGAATCTTTTGCGAATAATATTTCCGGGGCGTGCAATTTCTCGATTTGGTGATGTCAACTGGCCACCAAGGCCACCGGATTCAACTGCTCCTGACTTTTTTAAGGGGATTCTTGAAAACCAAATACTGCAGAGTCAAGAGGGCTCAGATTTGCGCGGATTCTATAGGCGGACATTTGTCTGATATTGTTTTTCATACATGATTTCTAAGTTTCAAAATATTCAGAATGAATGGACGTTTTTTACTTCATTTCACAAATATTCAAGATACAAACCAGTCAGTTACTTATCGCCCACCCTGAATAACGGGTCAGGCGAAACGCCCAAATTTCTTCAGAGCACGTGATTTCAATAATTAGGCGGCGAAGGCGTGAACGTACCGG